GGTCATAGAAGCTAGTCACCAGCAACATCATAAAATTTCTACAAACCGCCTTTTATTGGGTTTGGTCCATGACAAGATACGTTCAATCTCTCCCATGTAAATAATGTTCATAATTTTATATTAATATTTTTAAGGAACTGAACTTTCCCTTGTGTAAGCTCAGATTTTGATGAGTGAATTTTTCCATTCATTACTAATGCCAAAGTACATTAGATGAATCTTTAAGTTTTTTTGCAATTGTATTAATGTAAAATAACTTTTACAACTTTTCTTAAAAGATGTTTAAGCTCTAGAAACAATATTGTTTAATAACATACTGTCATAGTCTTTTTCAGGCTTAATTTCATTTAATAGGGTTTTTCTGTCTTTTTTTCTTTGAAAAACTTTTTATTTCACTGTGCAGTAGTTTAAATAAGCTTAAGATTAACCCTGGCTATTTAGAATTTACTGTAAAAACTGTTTTGTGTATGCACTTTGCCATTATGCCATAATACAAAACAACAGACCAAATTTTGCTACTCAGAGGCAGATGCCAGTTTAAACAAACTGATCCAAACCTTGTATAAGCAAGCTTTTCTTATGTCAACTAAGAAAAGATTCAACCTAAACCAAAGAAAGTCTGCACCAAGTTAACAAATGCAGTTTATGTTCACCTTTAACTGAACCACTATGAAAACAATACTGAAAATGTGAAGATCTAAACAATTCAGGTGCCTAATCCTCTGAGGTTAGACAGATACTGGGCAAACTTCAAATTCCAAGCCTAAAAGGTTATTTATATAATTTATTTCACCTGAGGCAAAGTCTTCTGGTGAAGGTCTTATTTCTTATTACATGTATCATTAATTATCAGTTTCAGTAGGCTTCTACATACATCCTAAAACTATTTTATGCTTCTATAACTGTGTATATAAACTTGCAATTTTTCAAATAAATCTGTGACCTGTACTTAAAATATATGGAAAGTCATTAATGAACACAAATACATTCACTACACTATCTGTAACACATATTTTGAAGAAAAATTAGCAAAGAAATCGCTAGCTAAATTTTCAATTCACAAGTAGAATTTGCCATGGTGTACCAATGAACTGTAAAAAAGGAGCTTCCTTTAGTGAAGGAAGTTCATTGAGCAGATGAATTCATCCGTACTTTAGCTCCATATGACAAACCTCAGAATTCCCTCTACCTTAAAGCGTCTGTTGAGCTTATCCAAACTTGTACAAAAGGTTTAACTAAAATAAGGCTGTTCCACAGTATAAATACCTCACATAAATTCGCACAGTATGCACTATCCCAGACCAAGTATTATTCAGTTAAAACTATGGGTATACATTTCTCATTGATTCATTATTCAGATAAGAGACATCCTCACCTGCCTAAACTTTGCTAGCAGGTATAAACCTATGAAAGGAAGCAGAGCTGCATTCAATGCAATGTAGAGCTCCCAGAATTTTTTTTCTGTGCTGTGGTGTTTTGAGCTAACAGCTTAGCCAGAGCATTCTAAGAAGTTTACCATTAAACTGTAATTTACAACTGTAAATTACAGGGGTTAAGTTTCTGAGTTAAGAAACAAAAAAAGAGTAACAACATTGATCTTTATTTTAATCTTTCATAGAGAAAAAGCTTTTCCTGTATTATCAAAAACAAAGAATATCAATCTGAGTTTGAACAAAGGGAATATGGTAACAGAAAAAGTTCAATTAACTCAAATTACAACAGCAAGGCAGTAAGAAAGTATGATGTATCGAGTTGTACATCAGTATGTGATGAAACAGGAAAAGCGAGCCTCCTTCTAGGCCAAGTTTAAAGCTTCAAGCTTAGGGACTTATACTACCAAATCCGTAACTTCCAAGCATGAAATTATGGAGTCTAGTGTCGCTGCTGCTGTTTTATAAACTACATTAAGCTATTTGCCTCACTAATCTCTGGAAGCAGAAAGTTTCATAGTTCCCCTTATCCGTAATTTTAAAAAATCTCACGTATCTCTTCTGTTGTTAATTTGAATTTCTTTGGGTCAAGAAGGAAAAACTTTTTGGTGGTTTTGCATACAATTCAAGGATTTACTCTTCACCATCTCTATACAAATATTGTTCATAAAAAACAGCTCCAGTGGTGAAATCTACCTCATCTCCATTCCTCAAATTAAATAAAAACTGGCCTGAACGATGAAGGTTAACTACTCAAACAGCTCTCCATACCTTGATTTCTGTCCTTCCTAACAGAAATCTTTCTAACTCAATGTCCATAAACAAATTATTCTAGGGCTCCAGTTCCTTTAGAATAAGCAAATCAGTCCTAATGCTTATCTAACTAGTCTGTTGCTGAAAATTATACCCATTACCTGTAGTCTTGTTCTGGCCACTGAAAATAGTTGTCAGAAGTAAAGGTTTTCTTTTAAGAGGAAGAGAATAAGCTTTCAGCTTTGTCTTCTTTCAACCAAATAACCTTAGTTCTTTCAGTCTTTCCCTGTCAGTCTTATTTTCTGTTCTTCTCATGATACCTGCCTGCTGCTTTAGGCTAGCTTTCTTTAAATAACCTTTTAAGTGTGATGTCCTAAAATGAGTACCCTACGTGTCATAATTTTAGTATCAAGTGAGATGGAAGGATTACAACACTCTGTTTAGGACTTCGTTTTCACCATCTTGTTCTACTGAGATAAATAAAATTGTGGGTTGATGTGGGTGACCCACATGAACTCTTAAGTCCCTTCCTGTATAACTGCTGCCTAGAAGCGGCTCCCTGTATCTTGAATTATGTAGTTACTTATTCCTAACTAGGAATACTACTTTGCACTGGTCCCAATTTCTCTGTTAAGGACAATTTGAACATAAGTCTGTCTTTCAAAGTACAACACAGTTCCTCTTAACATCACTGTTAGCTTTTCTTCCAACTTCCAGAATTCATTCCTTTTTCTTTCTCCAAGTTATTATAATTGGCCTTGAATTTCTACATTAACAGTGGATTGGATAACTTACATAAAGCAAAACTGAATAAGGTAGACTTGCAAATTAAACTAGAACATACTGTATTTAGTATAATTATTTTTTCAAATTAATTTAAGTGGAAAACAAGGTCCGTTAAAGCAAAAGGAAAAAAAACAGAGAAGGGAAGATGTCAAGTGTGCCATAGCTATTCTGCAGCCTAGATCTGCTCAGCAATAATAAAGGTTTGACTCTGATGAAGATATAACATGATTTGTCATTACCAGTTATATTCTTCACTAGCTGCATCCCATTTTGTGTCCAAGTCTTTCCAAATTCTATCCCTACAAGTTCAGACTACCCTCTTATACTTCACAATATCATACATTTCTGCCTTCTGCATAACTCATTCTTGAGTATCAGATAACCAAAGGAGCTGCAGTTTAGTCAGGATAGTCTCTGATTAGGTTTCTTACCCATCTCCTTACATAACGACTGTTGGAATTCTTAGCCCTGTTTTATTAAGAAACTTCCAATTCCTATAAAATTGTTTTTCCTTAGGCCTTTATGCCTATCTCTTTCCCAGAAAGACCTTGCTGCCATGATTGTGTTCCCTCCTTCCCTTCCCCCCCATCTCAGCTTTATATTCTTCCACCCCAGTAACAGAAGGCTACATCTTACACAATCTGGCAGATTAATAATTTGCGTATAAACCTATGTATATTACAGTCACCTTCACAGACAGCAATATATTTTCACCGCACCTCTGCAGAAAAAGGAGGGTGTGAAGGATACAACTGTCATCCCCATTCTACATATGTAAAAACTCCACCTAAAAAGTGAAGAGAGATGGTTTCACAGCACAAGTCAAATCACTGGCAGAGCTAGGATTCACTCATCTTTTGCAGTCCTATACAATATCAAATTCGCATGAAACTTCTAGTTTAGATAAACAAAAATCCTATTACATGAGGCTATCCTGATTCCTTGATAGAGGTGTACAGTTTCACTTTTGTTAGAACAAAAATAGAGGCTTACCTTTGGATGACTTCCCATTCTTAAAGTTGGGGTTTTTTTTAACTGTTTCATCTTTATCATACAAGGGCAAAAGTAATTAGAAAAGGGAAAGCCAGTGAAGGCTAGCTGCACAAAAATTCTCACATGCAAAACAGACACTATATTGGACATAACTGTTTTCATGGAGACAGAATAATAAAACTGTATTAAATACCATATTTTACAGTTTCTTCTAGAACAAGTCAACAGATGTTCAGAATATAAAAGATCTGGCAACCTAATTTACTAGTATGAAACACCAGTTTTGAAACATTTTTTGAAAATTAGTGTTCAACTACTCTGTTTAACACAGGAGTACCAGATGAGATCAAAAGAACCATCTATCCCAAGATAATGCTGCAAAATTGCCCAATAGTGGATGTGTACTACTATATTATGCTTTTGCCATTTCAACTCTATAAAAATTGTCCAAAAATCACAAAACAGACAACTACTACTTTCACATTAACATCTCTGTACTTCAATGTATGTTGACACATACAGAACACACAAAGAAACAACTCCTCTGCCCTGTTCTTCTTCTTTCCATTCTGATATTTCAAAAACCCATTAAAAACTTAAACAGTTCATGGTATAAATTACGCAAAATTGGCCTCTGAAATTTAATCAGAAACATAAGCTACTAGCTTTAAAGTACAAGTTAGTCATCAATTATTTAATATATTCTATTTAAATAATGACACAATATACAGGCATACAGAATTATTTTTATACAACTGTACAAAGAAACATGGGAGGGAGGAAGAAAGAAGAAAACCCCAAGAAACTAATTTCATTTTGGAAAGAAAAATTTATTAAGTATAAAAAAGGCACACCCAAGACAATGCTTTTGACAGAAGTACCTTAAATATCCCCACAGGCGTATTTTTTACTCTAGAATTCAATGCTACAGTCATTATTTAGCACACTCACATCAGCAAATTCCAGTCTATTGCCACACATTCAATCTCTAATACTATGAATTGTTGAACTTACTAACATTCAGCAACTACAACTCACCATCTGAAATTCGGGAAGGGAGTAACAATCCTCTTCTGCCTAGTTCAGCCAGAGCCAGGCATCCACCATGCCATGCATTGTCTGTTTCCTGGAAACTAATTTCAGAACAAAGACAAGTTTTGTTAAGACTAGCGTTCGCTTTTCAGATTTCATTTTTCATGGTGAATTCCTGACATTTTAGAAGACATATAATCCAAACCAGCATGTGTTTATTGTGTTATTAATCCCATTAGACTTCTAAAATATAAGAATGACAAGTTGAACATGTTTTCCTTCCCATTTTGTGCAACATAAACACTGCTATAAACATGATCAAATAAGCAAAAAAGCATTTATCAATATAAATGTAACCTCAATACAGAAAAGTAGCATACCTGAAAGTCATCCAGAAAAGGAAAACAACTTCCTAGTACACTGGCAAAAGATGCAGATTTATAGAACATACCCCAAATAACTCATGACTTTAGTGCCAAACACAGTGCCTAACTAGCAAAAGAGGTTCAAGTGATAGCTTCCAATAAACACATTATACAAGCTTATGCAGTGAGCAAGCGGTGGTGTTTATCCACCTTTAAAAAACATGAAACAGAACAGAGTGGCTTGTAGCAAACACAGAAAAAAATATCAAAAAGGGTACACAATTTTTGGTGGACTGGCAGATAAAAGGCGTGAAAAGGGGAAAGGTTGCATGCTGCATGACTAAACATGCAAAAAAGTCCATTTTGTATTAAACTACGAATAGGAATCTGAGAATAAAACATTGAACAAACAGACTAGGTCATATCAAAGCTTCACCTCTCCCAGTATCCTGTCTCTGACGTGGACCAATAGCAGATGCTTAGCCAAAGACGAAGCATAAAGGATCATTCCCTTATTAGCCTCCTCATAGCTTTGGCAATCAGCAGTATGGAGACTTCTCAAGCCAGAGGTTGCAGCCAGAATGTCACATTTAATAACCTCTGATGGGACTCTCTTCCATTAATTTGTATAATCCCTTTTTGAACTCCCTTTACACTTTTGGCTTCCATAACATCCTGTGGCAATGACTTCCACAGTTTAATTATAATTGCCTGAAAATATACTTCCTGATGCTTCCCAGTTCTTGCATTATGAGGAAGAGTGAACAGTAAACAATTACTCGCTTTCCCTCTTTATTTCATATTTATGATTTTATATATCTCCATTATATCCCTCTACTTTTTATTTCCACTTGGAAGAATCCCCATGAATTAAATCACTTCTCAGTGATTCGGTTTTGTTATCCCTTCCTTTCCTAATAACATCTAACATTCCATTTGCCTTCTTTTTTCTAACAGCTGCTGAGCACTCCACTGATATTTTGACAGAACTATCAGTGACTTCAAGAACTCTTTCCTGAGTAGTAATAACTGTTTTATAGCTATCTGCATTTTTCCCTAAGTGCATTAGTTTGCATTCATTAGACATTACATTTCATGTCATTTACTGTCTAGTTACTTAGGCTTATATAACCTTTTCTGTCACCTTTAGTTTTCACTACATTTGCTTACTTTAAACCATCAACTGATTTCCTCACCCCATCGTTCATCTTTTTTCCAGGATCCTTTATGAGTATGTTGAACAGCACAGGGCTTATACAGACCCCTGCGGGACTGTGCAGATAATTTCACTACATTGTGAAAAATGATCACTTATTTCTTCCCTGTCTCTTGTCTTTCAGTCTATCTACGTGTAAGAAATCCTTTCTTCTTATCCCAAGAGATATAACTTAAAATGCCTCTGATGAGCAACTGATTCATTTTTATTTTGGTCACTAGATATTTAGTGCAAAGAATACAGAAGAGATTCCCTTTGTCCTTGCCTACATTTGTTCCCAGGTGTTTCTGAAGAAAGCAGGTCACTCAATTAATTACTAGTTGGATTACTCATCCCTATGACTTGAAAACAGGGAAAGAAGACACAGTGAGTACAGGTCTTTGAAGCTCCAGGGATAATTGAGATGAGCAGCACCTCAAATTAATCACAGTAACACAGTGGAAGTATCATCTAAGTAGATACTTTCCTTGCAAGTTTTCAAGACTTTATACCTTCTTTTTTAATGTGTTATCCTTTGAGCTGGTATTTTTCATTTGTATTCACAACCAGTACGAGAAGATTTTTTAAAACTGAGTACATCTGAATGACAAACTGAACATTACCAGTATTTTTTGCCAATAAAAAAATTCTTTTTGTTATTAGCTTAGCTAAAACACTAGTTTAGATCGTAAAGCTCAAGTACTCAATGTAGACCTGATGAGCAATTTGATATTAAAAAGCACATATGATACTTGTTTAATAATTTAGTCCACACTCTACACAGATGCAGAAATGAGACATTCAACAATAAAGCACATCAGAAGAACATCCTAGCAGCTATATGTGATCAAACTGATGTTTCAGCTAGCCCAAAGGCCTCTCTCTGACATGGTCAACAGCGCATGCCTTAGGTATAGTACAGAACATACTGTGACACTCCCCAAAACAATTCCAAACTCTGGCAGATCGTGGACAAGTTTGCAGAAAAGAAAAACAGTTTTTGTTCAGGCATATACTCTTAGCATCCACAACATCCTGCACCAAGAAGGTTTTGCAGTTTAACTGTGCTGTGTGAATAACCACCACCTTTTCTTTATTCCAAACCTGCCACCTGATACTTCAGTTTGCTTCTAATAATACAAAATCTAGAGGGAAATCATTTCCATGCCATTCATGATTTCATAAACCTCTATTATACCCCATTATTCCTCACTCTTCCTAGATGTTTCAGCCTCCCCTCACACAGAGATTGCTTCTTATGTCTGGTGATCCTCAGAACCATTTTGAATATCATTTTCCAGTTCTACTATGTTTCTGAAGATGCACACAACACTCAAGACATGAGCACACCAGGAATTTTTAAAGCAACCAAGTTAATGAGCGTTTTTTATTTTTGAATGTCAGTCCTTCCATATTACGTTAGAATGGGGTCAAGACGAAGGATTATGTAAAATTTCATTATTCAACACCCTTAGCACATCCATGCCCTAGAAGATTTTGAAATCTGGGACAAGGAGGGCAACAAAATTCACAGATTTTTAGACCTGTCTTCCTACCTGCTGTCCTCCTGTTTCATAAGCAGACATGTTTCAGATGCATGTAAAGCATGAAATAAGATTTTTACCTAAAACAGTCCAACAGAGACCCAATCACGTCATCTGCTAATTCTTTCGGAAGTCTTCCAGTTATTCTACCAATTCTACAGAAGTCAAAAGGAAAAAAAAGCATACAGTGATTCATTAGTACTGCATTTGATGAGTAAGTCCTATAAAAAATTTAGTTACTGAACATTTACAATAAAATGACTGACTTCAAGATGACAATGCACTACACTAACACCATTACCCTAAAACAACAATCCTAAAACTTGAAGCAAAAGCTACACAGTAGCGAACTTAACACAGAAATACATTTTTTAGTGGAAGAGAAAAAAAACATTTTGAAGAAATGCTATTTTACACCCTTCAAATCAAGCCTTATCCAGAATGTTTATTTCCAAACCTATTTGAAATTTTCCTGAAGACTAGCCCAATTTCCTATCAGAAAAAGATACAAACATGGCTTTATACCATGAGCTGTGCTAAAGCAATTTGCAGTAACTGTGAATATTGGCAATACACACAAATTATCAATCATGGATTACATCAGACTGTATTTCTATGTTGTTTACTATAGTTTATTAGTTTAGAGTAACCATAAGAAACCTACCCTTTTGCTGCAGACCACCTGACAATAGTGTCTTTGTCTTTCAGTCCAACCAACAATTGCTCTGCAGATAATTTTATTTAAACAAAACAGATTATTCTCATTTAACAACAGAAAGATTTCTTAAAATGTTCAAAATTCATTTTCCTCTTAACATAACTGCTTCTTAAATAACAGTATTTGTATCTAGATTTCTTCTATTTGTCACGTAAGTATGACTTGAAATAGAAGAAACAAGAAAGATGTCAAAATTATTTTCTAAAAGAGAAAATTTGGTTTGAAATTTTAAGTACTGTGGAAGATTCAAAATGAAGGTCATGGTGCTTTTTTCAGTGGTTCATCAGATTATTCAGTCATAAAAGTCTTCTGACGCAATTTTTGCCTATTTATTTACAGCATATTGATTAGCAAGCTAGCAGAGGACCTGCTGTTTGACTGCATACTGATAAAAAAATATGCTGTTCCTTTGATACTACCACAGCTTAAAAATTTCAACCATAATTCTTTAGCTTTCATGTAACAATTTTTTGCTTTGTTTTTCATTATGAATTTTAATTCATCCTTCCATCTGTGAAAGGTTCAAGATATCTCTTTCATAGTACTGGATAAAATCAGTAAAATGTATTTCAGTAACTCCATCCCCCAACCCCAAAACAAATGCTAGAGTATTGAGTTTCTGGTTGAAATGTTGAAGTCCAAATCATTTGACAAAAATATGCTATATTTTAATCAGTTGCATAGACTGAAATTTTATAGTCTTTCCAATTGTTCACATTAGCACAGATACCCACGTGACTTTCTTAGCACTAAGCAGGTTGTTTTCCAATATATGTTTAATTTGCAGGCGTTACAAAATTTCTGTCCAGTTTTAACACACCTACAACATTTTCAATCTCTCCTGGAATGTCATATTCCTCTTCGTCATCAGCTTCATTAGCAGCAACTGTTATCATTTGATTCTGCACAACTGAACCCTGAGCTTGCAGATTGGCAGCCAAAGATCGACAGCCACGCTGGTATCTGCGCAAGAAACAGACACAGTTAATTTATTTTTCTGATTTAAGTTCCAACTGAAATAGGTACATACTGTCATAAAGCCTGCTTGTCAAGTTACTACACCTCTCAGGGCACAGCTCTCCACTTATTTAGTGGTTGCTTTAAAGGAAAGGGAAAAGTATCCCATTCTCCTTCCTTCTGACCCAGTTGTCTATCTTCCAAGGTGAGAAGAGCTAGACTATTTAAATGGTTCCTTTTCATTATCTCTCTCTTTCCTGTTTCAGTATAACCTACTTTCCACTGCTGACAATAAAGAGAAGCAAAATTCCCATGCCCTAAAAACCTCTCCAAAACCTAAAAAAAAAAAAAAAATTAATAAAATCAACTTATTAAAAATTGGTTTTTAAATGTTAATGCTAGCTTAGTACTTTCTGACCAAACTGTACTCAGATATTTAGCCCGTGGTGTAGATACCTTCTTACAAAAGATATACTTTACATGCTAAACTGGCTTTTGCCATTGGGCAAGGTACACTCTCCACCTAAAAAGAATTTTCTATGCCTAAGGATGTTCTCAAAAGTTGGTAAAAGAAATACAACAAAAATAGTCACCAAGGGAGCCTGCAATTTTAAAATATCAGTGCGAGAAATCTAAAAAAGAGTTTGCCCTCTGGCAATAAGTAAAACCAGACACCAAAACCTGACTAATATGCAAAACAAAAGTGGGATTGCAAACCACTTTTCCCCTGTGAACCTTCTATCGAATCAGGGTAGAACTATGTAATGGAAACAAGTTACATTCACTCTTACAAAATTGTACTAAATCAACGTTCAGTAACAAAGGTCACTGTCTTCCCATCTTTACCAAGTTATGCATTACATAGGAACAGGCTTCTGCTTGTGTAACGTGCAACATGAAAAGTCAAAAGATTTGGCTTGTCACAGCACTAGTTCACTATACCAAAATTTAAAAAAAATTACAGGAAACTAAATACAGCAGAAGAAATCTACTTTTTCCAAATAGCGCAGATGAAGAATGTGTTCATTTCCCAAATAATATGGGGATTTCTTTCTTTCTCTTTTAGGGGAGGTTAGGAAGGCAGAAGGCCAGCAGTCAAATGTATGGATTTAGGTATTTTTAGGTTTTTTGAGTTGTTTTGGATTTTTTTTTTAACTGTTTCAGCTTTAAACTAACCTCCATTTTGCTACCTTCGGTTTCACAAACGTCAGTCCAAGTCGTTGAACAAGTTTCATCCCTAGCTTGCGAAGAACCATCTGATTACTTTCCGACAGCTTGCAGTTATCAAGACACTCGAGTACAGTAGCAGCTGTAAAAGAAAATAAACACGTTAGAAAAACGTTTTTTAAAAAAATCTCAGTAAGAAAATTTTGTAAAGTTTTGAAAGTTCTGTAGAAGATTTAGATTTTTAAAGGTATTACTGAAATGCAAATGCCTTATTACCTACTTTGTAGCAGCTTTGACACTGGTCAAATAGTGGTAATATCCTTCACCTACCAGACAGGAAGGATTGCTTTAAGGATTACTTTTGACTATGTAAATTATAATGAATCTAGATTCTGAGAGTATTTATCCCTCTGATTCTCACTGGAAGTAACACGTTCAAGTATCTTTCAGGGTCTAAGAATTTTCAGTAGACTAGCAGAACCAGGAGTCAGTAAGTCTAATTCATTTACTCTGCAGCCAGTTTCTGCATGCTAAGAAAGTGTTCCCTTTCCTCATTTATTATTTTCAGGCAGCATCAACTTAAATCCTCTGGCACAGAAATTTTTATGACGATGAATGTCCATAAACATTTAGACATGAGAAATACTGTGTATGTGTAAACAATCAGCAACAAAACCTTTCATTTGGGTACATCAAAGGTAACAAAGTTATTTGTCCAGCAAAGTAAAAAAAACATAGACGAAAGGAGAATCTTGGATTAACAAGTATAAAGTTCCAGAATTCAAAATTTTCACAAGGAATACATTCCTGTTTCAAATAAAGTAGCCCTTTTGCATTTTCAGCCCAAAACAATTAATAATTATTTTGAAGGCCAATCGTTAGTTAATAGATACTAAAAACTTGGGCTCTGAAGGACCTATCATTCTTGCTATAAGCACTGCAAATATAGAATCATACTGGCAAAATATTCTGCAACCTTTTACTCCAGTCTCATATCGGGGTTTTCAAAATACTAAGAGATCAAAGATACAATGATTGTTTCAAAACCTGAGAAATTGTAGGACACAACTTAAAAATCTTCTCCGTTTTTAAAAAGGCTTATCATTTATCCTGACATACTAAAATATTAATAAAATAATACATGCAGACAAAAAGTTAAAGCCAGCAATGACTATTACTTCGATACCTTCCAGCAACCTGGATTTTTTTGCAGTTGCAAAAGCTAGAGAGACTAATGGTTTAGGAGGAAGAGACTGCAGAAACATCAATACTCATAGACAGAAAAAAAAAAAAATAAATATAAGCCTCTTCCAAGTCCTGCCAACTCTTGGATCACTAAAATATCTACAGACCCATGCACATGGCTTCAGGACTAGTGCTTATTTTTAAATCAAGTTCTATGTTGCAAAAGATTTCAACCAGTATCTTCGACATTTGTCCATTTTTTTCCTATTTGGTCCTCAGAGCTGTTATAACCTGTAATAATTAAAAATATTTCGTATTTTTTGTCTCTCATATTTTCTTATCCCCAACAGTTTCTGTCTGAATACTTGCTTCTTAGATGTGAGCATTCTATCTTTTCTATCGTAAATTTATTGATCGGTATGCCACTGATTTTTCTCTTATTACCAGACTCATAACTACTTAATATTCTTTCTATATGCCATAGGCCAAAACATCCAATTTTACCAGCAGGGTTAACGTTGTGATCCAAGTATCTGCTTTTCGTATCGATTATGTTGTTGTTGCATCTGTTGCACAGTTGCATCTTTTGAATTACATAATTTTGTGTTATACTATATTTTATATAGCCTGTTTACTATTCTTCTTATCTGGCAGTCTTATTACTCTTTAAGCTTCCACAGTGCTGTCTGCTATTTCTATGCAATGACATTCCTCAATATTTTCTGTTTGTTCCCGACCAGCCGTACAGCACATCTGTCATTCCATTCTGTTTGTCTTCACTATCTTATCTCCATCCTTATCCATATCTCAGGCATTTTGTAAGGAAACATCTGCATCTCAGACTTAGTAACTGGGAGAATTAAACTGCTTCCAGCACTAGATCTAAGAAGTTTCTTCTCAGAAGTCAAAATAATTCCATTAAGTGAAATCATAAGCATTCTAAAGTGGTTTTACATCATTGCTTAATTCCCATGAATAGCACAAACGACATTTCTGGTGCTTTGATAAGCTCCACAAAACTAACAAGGTCTTTTGTAGCATTTTGTAGTTAGCCATCACCTTTACCTACCTCTCTTTACTATCAATAAAAAACAAGCTAGTATTTTGCAGTCAGTTCTGACCATATTCCAGGATTCACCATGAGATTAATATAATTCCAACATGCAGCTACACTGTTCAGAAACTTCTGTGCTATCCTTTCAGGTACCTATCTATACCTAATAGTATCCATTATAATCTCTTTTCACTAAAAACTTTTTCTCATTTCAACAGTATCACTACATGATTAAAAAAAAGCTGGGTCCTGTACATAGCAGGTTCTTTAAACTTGGGTTTTCCGAAATCCTGTGCTTATGTTAAAACTTGAAGATTTTCTGCAAAATTTCCAGCAGTAATATGTATAAAACCAGTTTATTTTCTAATGAATTTTTAAAAATATTTTCCACATCTTATAGTTTATATGTTCTGTGTTCAGCTCCTGTGTTATAGCAACAGCCAATGTGATCACCTGCCAAATTCTTTGATGTGCTGTTCCAACATAACATTCCCCAGTTGCATCTGCTCCTCCCTCACTGTCATCTCTTCTTTTCTTCCCTCGTTTTGCATGCTTTATAACTTCCCTGTTGATTTCACTCTCTACAGCACCACTTGTTATCAGTTTAATCTTTCTTTCCTTTTTTTATTGGAATGGCTTTAAAAACAAAAATCAGGATATTACAAACTTACCATACGGTAAACAATCTTCTCTTTTGCCATGTTTAAATAACTGTGCCTACAATTAAAATAGGGAAAACAGACATGAGAATATAGAGATTCTAAAGCACAATATATTAAGCACTAGTTCTAAAATTCTTTTTAATATTCTTGCAATAATCTGTAGTGTTCACTAATTTAAATAGCATAAAAGGAAAAGAGTCTCGGGGTGCAGTTTTACTTCTTTGTAAGTCAGTGCAAGTCAAGGATAGTGTAGCCCAGCCCTCCCCTCCCCTCCATACAATCACACAGGCAGCCAACTCAGGGCGCTGAGTTGGCCAAAAAACACTCAAGAGAATTAAAAAAAAAAAAAAAAAACCACCACTGGTTTTCAGCCAGCTCAGCTCTCTGAACCATCCAGCTCAGTGCTTGGTCACACAAGCTCAATGCAGGTGCAACCACAGCAACTATTATCTCAAACAGCTCATGATGCTTTGAACCTCTAAAAAGTGAAGCAGAATTTGTAGAACACAAATAAAGGCAGAAGAACTAGAGGAACTCTATATCCTGTTTGGGACTTCCTGGCAATCGTGAATGTCTCCAAACTGAACAAGCCTTGCTTACAATTTAGATGACACAGCACTCAGTACACATCAACACTTCGGTCACTACTAAGAAGCAGGACAGGTGGACACATGTGAGTGAGCTTCGTTACTAGTAGTGACCACACTCTGACAGACAGGATGCAGTACAGGCTAAACTGCTGAGTATTTTACGCTGTTTCTCCAACAGCTTTTGAGAACTCCATGTTAAACTAAACAAAACAGCTACAGCTATCTCTGACTGCAAGCCTGCTACAAATGTACCTCCAACAGGCAAACTTTAATTCCTATGCCAAGGCATTTAAAGAAGCAAAGAGCTTTCACAATAATTTTATATACAACTAAATATCCCAGTAAGATTAAGCCCCAGCACTACAGTGAGACGAATGGACTATTAACACCTGACAAAAACATGTTACACATGTAAAGTTTCCTCAGTTCGCTTAGTATACATCAAAACTACTGTGTTCAGTCACTTATTTTTCCTTGCTCTGTCATTCACCAGATGCAAAATCTTCTTCAATAAATATGCCTAGGAGTTAAACAAGAATAGACTTACCTTAAAAATATGTACTTTCTCACACATACCAAATACACACATGCCTCCCGTACTGCAGGTGTGGTTAAGAGCAACAAAGGCAATAAAAACACCTTTAGGCTATGTACCCATTCTATTTTGTTTTCTTACTAAATTGCATTTTTGGATCCTAAATTAGCACTTCTGATCAGCCCTACTAAAAGCTATATAAGGGAATTTGATAATATATATTGAATTATTTAAGATTTTTAATGTTTTCATGAGTAACTACGCAATTATAAGTCATCCTTTAAAACATACATTTACAAAGCAGAAATGCTACAGAACTACTTCAGGCCCAGAAAAACAGCTAATAGAAATAACTAGCAACACAAATTGTATAGAAATACAGCATAGCTTTTATCAATGTACCATATCAGTTTTTTAAAAAAAAAAAAATTCCCACTAACATACAGCAATACTCTGCTTGTATTAAAAAACCTAAAGAAAAGTTGACAGAAAATCTGCAAATCTTTGGTATAATTAACGTATCTAGAGTGCCTCTAAAATTTTTCTACCTCTTTGCTGAAACATGCAAAAGCTTATTTCTTCACCACTTTGTTCCTGTGTTCTGCTTTAAAAACCTATCAGATGGTTTCTTCACAAGGTTAGCAAGTCTGTAGCGGATGCTAGGAGATACTGCAGCATTTCTGCAGCACCTTGTCTTCACAATTACTTCTCCTTTCTGTATAAAAGCCCAGTTAAGAGCAGAAACTGTTTTTAAGGCACACACGGGCTGCCTCCGAATTATTAGAATTATATTCAAGCATATTCAAACAAAACACAGTATAATTCCTTAAGTAGTGATAATGTAAAGAAACAGCTTTTTAATATAGCCTTGGGAATGCTCCTGGACAAATGCATTCATGTATCTACCCTCACACTTCTCGGCATACTGTCTGGGAGCTCCTGCAAAGATGGAATAGAATCCTCAAAACATCTACACATTTTCAGTCTTACATAGTTTGTACGTTCTGGCACCTTTCTACAAGTTTCTCTGTGAGTTTTCACATCCTCAAGGCCAACTTTGAATTCAGTTCTGACTCCTCAGGAAAAACATAACTAGAAGGTACCACCTCTAAGCAAGACTGTGGGAAGAAACTAACAAACACACAAGCAGGAAATGAGAAAACTCTTCAAATATTGTACAAGAAATTTTTCTAATGCTTTTCTAAAAAAAGGTAAGAAAACAGCCTCACATGCCTATGACTTGATTTAGAACAGTGAACTCGACAGATTCACTTTCACACCAATTTCTATTCTTTTCTGAACAAAAAGGTGAAACATACATTGTTTCTCTACAACAGTTTCACTACATACTTAAACAATAAACTATTTTCATATCTAATTTTCAAGACAGAACATCTGTTCTCAAACAAAATACTGCAAGAATTTATAATGTACTTTCAGATGTTAAAATCACAGCAACTGCTGTAAATCAATTGAGATATGGATTAAGGGATTTTATTTTATGGATGCAAGTTTAAGGGAAGTAAAAATTGACCAAAGAACATCATAGATACTGCGTTTAAATTAATAACTAAACTTAAAAAAAGGGGACTTAATATTTACATGTTTTTGTTCAACAGAATATGTTACCTACTGATTTTGGAATAAACACAGGTGAATGTCAAATGTCTGAAAGGAAAAGAAGTTCTGTTTGCACCCACTAATGTACCTTGCAGGTCAGATATAACCTTCTACCAGATTATTGGTGTTTCAGCAAGCAATACATCAGGTAGTTCTCTATCACAGAAAAGTTTAACAGCCATTTTTACCAAAAAACCAATTTTTATAGAAGTTAATAGCTAATCACCAAACTGTTGAGAACTACTCTTCAGATATTCAACACAGCAGGAAATCCAGTGTCTGGGGTTTTTTTCCCTGATTGCAGAAATGTCAAGAAAAGAAGTTTTCATTACTACTTTATGAGTCAAAGAACACAAAAGCATTCACAAGCCCAAATTTCCAAACTTTTGAGCTTACTAGATGTATTTTCCAGGGAAAATAAAAAAGCATTTTAACTGATCTTGGCCTCGGG